GTTGTTCGGTTAAATCTTATTCACCAGGACATTAAAGGGTAGTCGAGGCACTCGGGGCTGAGCCTTGCTAATAGTTCTCTTGTTTCGACTGTATATTTTATTATGTTGTATGGTATTTCACTCATGGCCTTTTCTCATAAAACTATGGATGGGAGAGGAATTGAAGGTATTCAGTTTTGCATATATATTGCGCACTATTTTACAGTTTTTTACTGAAGCATTCGGTACCATATTTGAAAAAATGCTGCCCGACCGAATATTTGAAATTTTGCCCTGAAACAGGTGGTTTGGTTATATTTATCTTGACATGAATAAAGTGCATAAGTTAGGCTTGAAACTGGTTACAGCAGCAAAAAAAGAGATCACAGAAGAAGCCCTTATGCTGCCTTCCAATTAGTTCGAAATAGTCCAAAAAGAGTCTCAAAACAATCTTTCAAAAAAGAAACAAATTTTACCATATTAAAAATCTCTAAAACACTCATTCTACAAAGTTTCTGTTATAGCGTTGCCTAGGTAGCAAGTAAATCAGGTTTAGTTATCAATCGAAATTGGAAATGAAATTTATACAAGACTGCTCGTATCAGGGCGAAGCCCTGAATGTTCCGACTGCCTTTTAAGGTTTACGGAGCAGCAGTAATAAAATAAAAATTTAAATGAAATAAAACAAAATGAAATTTTTTTTTTCTAAAATTTGAAATTTTTTATGAAAATCATCCCCCCACACGCCATATAAAGTACAAAAAGATAGATTTCGTTCCGTGTAACAAATCATATATGGCAAATAAGCTTCGTTCAACCAATTTGGAATGATTTATAAGACGGATTAAATCTCCGCTTACGCGTTAATAGCGCGAAATATATCCCGCGTTAATTGTCCCAAATTGGTCAAAATGGCCAAAATGGCAATCTTTAAACCCTCATAACTTTACGAAAAATGATCACAGGTGAAATATATTTTCAAATTTAAGCTCAGGACAACAATGGCTTTCGAATGATATAAAAAAATTCCGTCAAAAATGGCTAGTTAAAAAGTCGAAATTTGTCTGAAGAAAAAAAACCCACCCCGAGCACAAATAATCCGTTAGTTTCGTATCGAAAGTCGGAACAATAACTCATGCTTTATTTGAACACTGAATAGTTGAATGATGCAACTGCTTTTCAAGGTATATTTAGGTTGAGATTTGACAAAATCAAAAAAATCCCGTTTTAAATAATCTATTTATTTCTATAGAACTTTTTACAAGTTAAGTGATGCCTCTAAAATAATTAGTAGATTATTATGATTTTTTACTATTGAAATTTTGAGGAAAATTTTAAATGACTAGCATGACACGCTTAAGACAGTTTGAAAGTTTTTTGACACCAAAAACTTTTCACAACAAAATCGGCAATATTTGGTTGCACCATGCACATACAAATCCAAATACAATTAACGCGCGATATTTTTCGCGCTCTTAACGCGTAACCGGAGATGCAATCCGTTATAGAAATCGTTCCAAAATGGGTGAAGGAATCTTATTTGCAATTATTGTTTCGTTACTAGGAGCGAAATCTATCACTTCGTAATTTATATGGCGTGTGAGAGAATGTTTTTTCAAAAATCTCAATTTTTTTCTTTTTTATTTTATTGCATTTGATATTTTCATGTTATTACTGCTCCATAGACTTTAAAAAGCAGTCGGAGCAGTCTTGTTAGTATTTGATATTCTTGTTAATTTTCTTTTTAAAAAAAACAGGAAATAAAAATTGCAACTTTTGTTTATCAAGCGATGAAAAGAACCTAACTTTTGCTGTTTTCTCAACAACTACAAGTAATTAACTTTTAAAACTTAGACATATGATAGATAAAACAGCTAATTGAAAGCTAATAAGATTAACCATTTTAAAAACTTGTGTTTAAGGTCACATCAGTTTTGTCTTAATTAAGAAGAACGGCCATTGACTACTCATCAATGAAGCAATAACTCAAATTTTAGCTTGTTACTAAAAAAATTGCTTATTTTTTTAAACAAACTTTTGTCTAAGAGCTTAAAAAAACGCTGAATACTAAGCTATATGAAATTTTTTACGAGGACCTACATATTAAAAGTTTCAAAGAAGTTTTATTAGAAGTTTCAAAGGCCTTTTAGAGAAGTTTCAAACTGCTGATGTTGTTGACAGGAATGTTTCACACTAAAAACACTTCTCTGACTCCCGCCCACAAATTAAAGGACCAAAATACAACTAGAAAGATAGTTTATTAAGGTTTCATTTAATTGCTTTCTAATAAACAGTTTCTTTCATCATGTGTTGAAGTTTCTAAGCATCAATTGGTAGCAGTTGTAGAAAAAACGGTGAAAACGTGGAAGGATCATTCATTTAATTACTTGAAAACTAAATGTTGCAACTTTTTTGTCCCGTGACTGTATTGAAGCGCAAGCGGCAAACTAATTATTTCCAAATTGAAGTGAAACAAGCGATCTAGTTTCATAATTACGTTACCAGGTGCAAAACGTATCAATCTTTTCTTGAATTGGGGCTATTGATTTGGTGTAGTAGGAGAAAAAATTTGAAAAAAAAATCTTTTTTTCTTGAAATTTTGGTCAAGTTGTTCGGTTAAAGCTTATTCACCAGGACATTAAAGGGTAGTCGAGGCACTCGGGGCTGAGCCTTGCTAAGAGTTTCGACTGTATATTTTATTATGTTGTATGGTATTTCACTCATGGCCTTTTCTCATAAAACTTTGGATGGGAGAGGAATTGAAGGTATTCAGTTTTGCATATGTATTGCGCACTATTTAACAGTTTTTTACTGAAGCATTCGGTACCATATTTGAAAAAATGCTGCCCAGATCCAATATTTGAAATTTTGCCCTGAAACAGGTGGTTTGGTTATATTTATCTTGACATGAATAAAGTGCATAAGTTAGGCTTGAAACTGGTTACAGCAGCAAAAAGTGAGATCACAGAGGAAGCCCTTATGCTGCCTTCCAATTAGTTCAAAATAGTCCAAAAAGAGTCTCAAAACAATCTTTCAAAAAAGAAACAAATTTTACCATATTAAAAATCTCTAAAACACTCATTCTACAAAGTTTCTGTTATAGCGTTGCCTAGGTAGCAAGTAAATCAGGTTTAGTTATCAATCGAAATTGGAAATGAAATTTATACAAGACTGCTCGTATCAGGGCGAAGCCCTGAATGTTCCGACTGCCTTTTAAGGTTTACGGAGCAGCAGTAATAAAATAAAAATTTAAATGAAATAAAACAAAATGAAATTTTTTTTTTTCTAAAATCTGAAATTTTTTATGAAAATCATCACCCCACACGCCATATAAAGTACAAAAAGATAGATTTTGTTCCGTGTAACAAATCATATATGGCAAATAAGCTTCGTTCATTCAATTTGGAACGATTTATAAGACGGATTAAATCTCCGCTTACGCGTTAATAGCGCGAAATATATCGCGCGTTAATTGTCCCAAATTGGTCAAAATGGCCAAAATGGCAATCTTTAAACCCTCATAACTTTACAAAAAATGATCACAGGTGAAATATATTTTCAAATTTAAGCTCAGGACAACAATAGCTTTCGAATGATATAAAAAATTCCGTCAAAAATGGCTAGTTAAAAAGTCGAAATTTGTCTAAAGAAAAAAAACCCACCCCGAGCAGAAATAATCCGTTACTTTCTTATCGAAAGTCGGAACAATAACTTATACTTATTTGAACACTGAATAGTTGAATGGTGCAGCTGCTTTTCAAGGTATATTTAGGTTGAGATTTGACAAAATCAAAAAAATCCCGTTTTAAATAATCTATTTATTTCTATAGAACTTTTTACAAGTTAAGTGATGCCTCTAAAATAATTAGTAGATTATTATGATTTTTTTGTATTGAAATTTTGGTGAAAATTTTAAATGACTAGCATGACACGTTCAAGACAGTTTGAAAGTTTTTTGACTCCAAAAACTTTTCACAACAAAATCGGCAATATTTGGTTGCACCATGCACATACAAATTCAAATTTTATTTAAACAATGATCAACAATTTTATTTATGAACAATTTTATTTAAAAAATGATCTTGTAAAATTAAACTTCAACCAGGGGCGGATCTAGGATTTTCTCGAGGGGGACGGATTTTCAAAAAATTTTCGAAAATTTTGGCGACTTTTTTTTTAGGTCGACCGAAATGATTTTTCGAGCTCTCCCTAAGCACGGTTTGGTCCCTATTTTGGCCAAATTTTCTGCACCGCAGATAAACTTTTGAAAAAACAGTCCAAAAAAGGCGTTTTTAGGCACTTTTTGGAAAATTTTGACTAAAAAATTACGTTTTTCGGCGCGCGCTCCGCCCTCAAAATTAGTATATGGGAGGCGCCTTTGGAAAAAATTTAGGGTCTGTCGGCAGAGGGGTACCAAATTAATTAAAAAGTACCACAGTACCAAAAGGGAACCCTTTGAGTCGGCAGGGGTGTCGAATCTCTGAGGGGCGGGGGTGTCCGCCCCCTCCCCTAAATCCGCCCCTGATTTTAACTAATAAAATCGACAAGTTAAAGGAAATTTTTATGTGCAATAAAAAAAAAATCAGGCAAAAATATTATCCATTTTTGCGTATGAACTTTGCATAAACCTATTTAACCATACAAGCCATGCAAAAACATTTCTGCAGCGTAGCTTTTTTAATGAAGATCAACCCTCATATTCATTATTTTTTCTCCCACTAAAATGTTTCTTTCAAATAAGTTTTAATATTAACTTTTTTGTCTTCGTTTTGACTGTCATAACTGAGACAAGAAAGCTAATATTAAAAAAAACTTTTCAAAAGAAAATTTTTTTTGGGGGATGAAAACATTGAAAATGAGGATTGTACTTCATAAAAAAAAAACTTACACTGCAAAGATTTCTTTGCATAGCTTGTATGGTGAAATAGGCATTATAAAAATTTCAAAAAAAATTGTGCAAATGATAAATTTCACATGTCTCTCTATTTTTCTCATGGAAATGATTGTTGTTCTCTGTATAGACGGGTACACTGAAGACGACATCAAGTACTCTTGGTTCTCCAGTGACCCTGTCTCCTTCAACGACGACATCTCCACCATCCAGATCCCCCAGTTCAGATACCAGAAACTAATGCGCAAAATAGCCACTCATCAATTATCCACAGGTTAGTTCAGAGAGTCTCTTGAGAGAGTCTAAGTTAAATTATGAATATTTTTTCCATTTTGGAAAATTCGAGAAATATAGCTAAATTGTTTTAGAAACTCAATATTCAAAGATAGTAAAACTGACAGCTGATATATGTTTAATTTACAGAAAATTTATGTTCATCAAAAACCACTAAATGGTGAATCGAATACTTGATATTAAAACTTCTTGCTGGATTTTGGAGAATCAAAAAATTTGGCTTCAAATAAAAATAGAAGAAAACTTTCAGCCCAATTTCCTGAAAATTTTTGCAAAGTTGGGGTGGGGGGTTCGATCCCTTGGTCTCTGGTCTGTTATAGGAAACTACTCGTATGCGAAACTGTCGATCTACCTGGAGAGAAACATAGCTGTGTTTGTGGTTCAAGTGTACCTACCAGCTGCCCTGATTGTAACCATCTCTTGGGTGACCTTTTGGGTGAAGAGGAATGCGGTACCTGCTAGGGCATCTATCGGGGTCACAGCTGTGCTGACCATGATGACCTTGACTGCAGGCGGCGTCCTCAGAGATCCAAGGTCAGTTAACCCTTTCATCAAAAAACCCCTGTCATAAAATATAGCGAAAAGAAGTATCAAATTAGAGATCTTGTTAAATATCCTTCCTATTACGAATTAAGGGAAATTTGATACAAAATATAAAATTCGCGAATGCTTAATCATTTAATTGGTCCTTTGCCTTTTTACTCGGTACCACAAGGTTCTAGGAATGGTTAGAAATATCTGAAATATGGTTGGAAAAAGAAAAGTTTTAAAGTAAATAAAGTTAATTGAACACGTTGTAGTGACTTTTTTGAGATCATTTAACTACAGTTAATTGAACAAGTTGAAGGAACTTTTTTGAGGTCATTTTAACTATCCCCCCCTGTTTTTACCTAGCAACGAATTTCCACCCCTATAAATAACTAAATCAACAGTTGAGCAAAAGCAATTCTTCCCTCTTTTGCAAAAGGGAGAAATCTTCCCTCTTTTGCAAAAGGGGGAAAAAGTTAAACAGATCCCTTTTTTGTTATACACAGATTTGGGAAAATTTTACTCAGAATAGCTTTTGTTTTAGTTTTGATTGATTTCAGCCAATCAGACTCAAGTATGATGATCAAGTTTTGATGAAAACAGATAAAACATTTTGTAAAACAGATACAAAAACGTTTTCTGTACTCAATTTAGCAATAGAATAACGCATGATTTTCGGCTGATGTCTTAGATTGGTTTTCTAGCCTGTTTTCATGACGAACTTATGTCTAATTTTTTTTTGAAATTTCTTGGTGTATATTGTTACGCTTAGTCTAGTAGAATGTGAAGTAACTACGGCACAAGGTGCGCTGATTAAACTGATTTTAGAAGCCTGAAAGAACGTTCGTGGAGTGTCAATCAAAGCTATTTAGCCGCAATTTGGGTTCCGAAAACAGCAAGCATTTTTGTTGTCGAGGAAAACTAACTTTTTGCATTCAGACTCAATTTTTTATATGCCAAAAATGAGTTTAACAAGTTCACTGTCAATTTTTAGCCCAAGTGTGTCAAGACACCGAAATCCAGGTACTGAAAAAAAACAAAAAATTAAGGAAATTTTTTTAAAAGTATTTTTTTTCGTTTACTTTCAAATTTCATGAAACAAATATATTCGCATAATCATGCCCCTTTTAAAAACTTTCAGGAACTAAAACACAGTGCCTATCAGATTCATTAAAAATTAAATGAGAATAAAAACTGAATATAATTTTATATATAACTTGGATTGTATCAGTAAATCTTAGAACATTCAGATCTATTGATCACGAGTACATATCTTACGGAGGCGGAGCAGTAAACAGAAAAGCCGACAAGCAATTCAGGTCCAAGAACAGAACTATATTCATTTTCATAAGCTTATCGTTAAAAAAAAGTATTAGAATTGTCAATATTACCAAAAAAAACAAGAATGGACAACGCATAAACTGAGTAACTTGATCACAAGTTTTTTTAAATTTTATTACAAAAAACTTGCTGAAATTACTCAATTAACGTATAACTTTTCAGTTCCTTGGTAGTATTAAAGATTATAATAATTGTTTTTATCGATTAGTCCGTATAAACCAATGTTTGTCTGTGTTTTTCTACTCTCAGACCCTTTCTGCTTTTGGACCATTCTGCTTATTGACTCTGCTTTTGACTTCATTTGTAATTTTCAAAACCAAAACTACGAATGTGGACATTCGGTTTCGCGCATTGATATTTTGCCCACTTTTCATGAACTTGTTTGAGTAAATTAATTTAGCCCACCAGGTTTTCTGATTATCTGCGATGAAACTGGATCCGTTGAATTGGTGTTGAATGAAATTTTTCCGGCCCATGTGATCAGTGTCACCCCTAAAAGACCCAGTGAACGATCTTCACTTAAAATCCAATATCAAACTCATGCCAAGACTGCTATTTGTATCGCGCTTTTAACGCGTGAACGGAGATTTAATTCGTCGTAGAAATCGTTCGAAATTGGTTTAAGGAAGCTCATTTGCCATAATTGGTTTGTTACTAGGAGCAAAATCTATGATTTTGTAATTTAAATGACGTGTGGGAGTATGATTTTTACAAAAAGTCTAAATTTTTTTTTCTTTCGTTTTATTAAATTTAATTTTTTCTTGTTATTACTGATCCATAGACCTCAAAGAGCAGTCGAAACATTCAGGGCTTTGCCCTGATACGAGCAGTCTTGTTTGTCTTTTTTGCTAATTAGTCTGCATAGTGTTTCATAACAAGTCATTCATTTAAAACTGCTTATGAAAGAATTCAACATATTGTTTGTAAAAAGGTAATCGGTGAAGTGTCGCTGAAGTTATTTCAAATGTGTTTACCACCTCCGCAAGCGAATCCCAAACGTTTTATTTATGCCTACTGTTTTCTCAATAAAAATTGTTTTTGTTTTTAAGATATGCTAGTTTTTTTTGTCAAACATAAGGTTTTAAGGCTCACAGAATCTATAAAGTGGATTTTGGGAGCTTTATCTAATTCTTGACACTAAAAAGAGCATTAGTTAAAATAAATAATTCTTAGTATTTTTGTCTGTGTTTTAACCAAAATTAAACCTAAATTGATTATACTTTCTTGTTGGCTCGCTAAAATTGTAACTATAACAAGTGTTACGACTGCTTTAAAAAACCTTTTTTTTCTATTTTTCTCGTTTGCCATTGCGTGAACAAAAGTTCCTCTAGATACGGACTTTCTACTTCTTTCTGCCATTCTCCGGAATTAAAAAATCTGAAATATTTAAAACAGTTTTGTGTAAGTTTGTTAAAAAACAAATTTATCAATAACTTTGTGTTATTTTGAGGATCTTGTAATTCAACAGTCAAAACTCCGACAAACCGAAAATATTTCAGAAGGGTGCTCTATGTTAAAAATATTAAGTGCTCTCTCGGTTTAGAACAACAGTTTTTTTATATCGGGCAAATGAGCTCGCTTTTATAGCGCTTTATTTGTGTTATGGTTTTGGCCAATGAAAAAGGGGAGGATTTTTTATTCGAACGTTTTTAGTTTTTTTAATCCGACCATTGAAAAAGGGGAGGAACTTTTGATTTCAGTTTAAATTTAGATTTTGTTTTCCACACAAAATCAAGAACCACGAATGACATTTGGGATTGGTTGAGTGTTATATTATATGGAAGCCCTTTCAGCCGGATTTCGAGAGATCCTTACATTTTCAACAAAGTTTTCGTCTGAATGTCGATAAAAACTGGTTTGAAGTTTTTGTATTTTGTCTCATTTCGAGCAAAAAAGCGACCACGCAGGCTTATTATACAAGAACCATGAAATTTTAATTTTCAGAACTGAAAACGCTTTTTTAAATCCAGTAAAAATGTTTTTCAAAATCTGCTGAAAAATTGGGAAAATTTGCAGAAGTATTAAAAAACAACCTTTTTTTTTCTTATCCTTTATGGAACAAACTGTTCATTTTTATGCCTGTTTTAGTATGAATATATAATTTAGATTCTTTTCAGATCAGGTGCCACAAATGATAATTGGGATGGGTCGAGTGTAAAAGCTTGTGAAGAATTTTCATCAAACCACGCACAAAAAAAACAACACAAGATTGAAAAAAAGTTTTTGATATTTTCGTCAGAATTTGCTCAGAACATTCTGTGCTTATTGCGCAGCAACCGCTTATCCTTTTTGAAAAATTTTTTTATCGACGCCACGCCATTTATGACAGTTTCCTCAGTTTTGTGTAAAATTTTGCATACTAAAAAAATCAATCAGAAGATTATTCTTTGTTTTAATGTGAAATCCCCCGGGAAAAAGTAACAGCTCCCTTTGGTGTCATTGGTGTCCTTGATTGTCTGTTTTGTCAGTTTAACTTTGCTCTATGCAGTGAGAATAAATGGCTCTTTTCCAGTTTTCAATCACCCACGTAAAATTACCAAAAAAATTCAAAAATTGTTCAGATTGCATTTTTCATGTAAGAAATATTGTAAAAACTTGTTCATCTATTCACGCAGATATGTTTAATTGCAGTTTATAACATGAAAAGCCATTTCAATATAAACTTAAAATTTTGAATTTTGGAAAAAATCAAAAGAGGGAACTGGAAAAGAGCCAAAAACATGACTCGGCATGATGCTGAAATTTTAACGCTCATGAATTTTACGAGCACTTCAAGTTTGGATTTTGAATTGGGGATACGGGCGATTTGAACCTTTTCTTCAGTTCTGGTGTTCAAAGTTTTTCTAAAAGTTTGCCTTCTGGTGTTTTTGTACTAAATTCGTTTTCGGGTGGACTACCGACCTGAAAGTCTTTCTACAGCCAGGCCTTGAAGGGCTGCCTTTAAAGCTAACTATAACAAATTTTGAGATGAAAATTGCAAATAGAGCAATATTGGGTTTCAGCAGAGCTAAAATATTAGAAATGACAGACTTACAAAATGAGAAAAAAATGTTCCATAAATATCTGAAGCAACAGCAAAAGCTTAATATATTTTTCTCGAACTTTTTGTTGTGCGCCTTTTGTAGCATCTTCACTGCTTCGTAAATGACCATCCCCTCTCCCAACCTCACAAAACATCAATTTCGAGCTCTAATAAAAATGAGCCGGGAATTTTTTTATCCGAACTCCAAAAAACTCAATACGATTAAAACGACTTGCATCTGGTAGCTTAAGGCGTTCTGTTCTTTTTTCTTTTCTCTGACTAGTCGTGAGGGGGATGAAATAACACGATGACAAGAAGATTAACAGAGGGTAATGTGAACTAAAAGCCCTCGAGGAGCTTAAAGCAGTGATGAAGCTTCTAGCTAATTAGTAACAAGAGGTCATAGCCCCCCCCCGTTGGTTTTTTCCTGGAGATCAATTTACAAAAGCCTATTTAAAATGATTTTTGAAGTTCCAAAGTGCAACATAACGTGTCAACTTTGAGAACAATCGATTATAATTGATTACAAATTCATATTATTGTTAATAGTTTTGAGACAACAAAATCCAGTTTTAATCGATCATAATCGATTACTTTCAGCTATATTTCAAAAAGTTTTAATCAAGCAAAACATAATTTATCA